CATTGTTGAGGTCTACTAGAATAGATTTATATTGTTCAATGTTCCAAACTCACATTGGTTTCTCAAACAGCATCTCTGTATAGTATGTGTATTCACTCTGTCCTACACGGCTTGTTGGGGCTCCTGCCTCCCCTCCCTATGAGCCCAGTGTGCTCTGATTGGTCAACCACTGTTACAGCTGTGTGTGTGTGTGTGTGTGTGTGTGTGTGTGTGTGTGAGAGAGAGAGAGAGAGAGAGTGTGACCCGGAAGTGTGTTAGAGTTTTACTCGCTACGTACTTTGAGGGTTTTGACTCTGCACACCGTTTACATGCAGAAAAACCTTCATAACACACAAGGGGACGGGTAATAACCAGAAAAGCATGACATGTGTAACGACGAGACGCCATTACTAGAGCTCTCGTTAACATGTTTATATAATCAGGGCTGCACATAACTGGTGCGCACCCGCCGCCAAAAAAGAGCACCGGATCATTTGAAAAAAGGCGCATTTGCCAAGGTATAATAATTCGCGAGCTATTTAGGTTTAATTGTTTTAATCCGTCCACGAGCACGACGGCATCTGTGATCCCTCGCTCTACCCCTCGCTATCGCGTGAAGGGTCTGTTTTATGCGCTCCGCACAGTAACCCCGCTGCGAGCTCACTAGCGCACCCCCCGGTCATAAAGTCAAGTACCCCTCAAAGGGTCCGGTTTATTTCATTTTAAGGATGCGCACCAAGCAACATCTCCAGGTGCTCCTTTGAGAACCAGGGCAAAAGAAAGTGATGTGCCCCCTGTATATAATCATTGAGCTGTATAGGGTATATTGACGACAACTTCCTTGTGCACGGAAATAATGTCACTCAGCACTTTAGTGGTGAGCAGTTTGCGCTTTGTTGGCGTGATTGCACAGTACAGTTTGGCATTGCATATTTGCACATAGTTTATACTATTTATTGATGTTTTATTTATTAAATGGTTAAATTGCATTAATTGTATAAGTGTTCACCCCCGTCTTGTCTGTTGCTTCCGGTCTCTGTGTTCCCTCCTGCTGATTACCCGGTTGTGTTCTACCTGGTGCCCTGGTGTTGTGTTCTCTCCTCCCCCCTCACCTGTGTCTTGTGTGTTTGATTAGTCCTGGGTGTATTTCGGTGCTGTTTTCTGTTAGTCAGGGTTGTTGAGAACTGTGTGGGTGGTGGAGGGCCGCCATGTTGTCACGGTGACCTCCAGCTGCCAGTATATCACTTCCTGTGCAGTGAAGGTGCTCACCTGGGTGTGTTTATTCAACAGAAGGCGAGCGAGAGTCGTGCCTCCATGTTCAGCCCCATCCTGCCGAATAAGAAACCAGCAGAGGACAAACGCAGGAACACTGTGCTCTCTGCCAGGAAAGCTAAACCTGCAGGGAAGGAAGCGGCTCTGTTCAGACCGTCTGTCCTCTCCACGCGCAGGATCAACGTTCGGTGAGGAGCTTTCTTTGGTCGTTGGGACAGAAATTATTGCAAAAGCCAAAAACTGTTTATCATTTTAGGAACTTAAGCAAGTAGCGAGCTGTGTCTGGTGATGTTCTAGACCTCTCAGCCTCTCGTATGAAGACATTGTTTCCTGTCTTGGCCGTCTCTTGGCAATAACAGGCTTGCAAGACGTTTGTGTTTGTAGTGTTTAATGTTATGCATACTACAATACATACTTTTTCCGAAATAAGGTCCCATGGAGCTCCCCCGGAAAGGGAGGGACTTCGCCTCTATTGGCAACAAGAAAGACTTTATCTTAACGAATGTGACACGTGTGTTTGCAGGTTCTCAGAAGCCACTCTTGACAATGGGAATAAGAAATGTCTGGTGAAGACGCCGGCGCGCATGACTCTCTGCGTGACCTCGAGCACGCCTAAAAAACCCACCACCGCTCAGGGAGAGAAGCCCAAAGCCGTCAAGACTTTCTCTGCCGCAAACACTTCAGGTAACGTTGCCTTTTTAAATCCTTAACATTACATCTACATATAGTAATGTATAGAGTGATTGCTTTAACTGTTTCCTACTTAAATCCAAAAGGAGCGTTTGTTTTCACGGGCAACACGAGTGCTTTGATTACCCCCGGGAACCAGAAGAAGCCGACCTTTGACCTGAAGGCCAGTCTGTCTCGTGCCCTCTCCTACAAGCCTCACTCGGGTACAAAACCACTTTTCATTTCTTTCCTGTTTCCCTGAAAATACACTATTGCTACTAGACAAACAAACCCCCCATGTTTTCTGTCACAGAGCTTTGAAATAGCTTTTTAAAAAACACGTTATTTTTTTTTTTAAAGGTAAACTGAAGCCGCTCGAAGACGCCAAGGAAAACCCGGCAGCAAACAAGTCGCTGATCTCAAACTCTCATCAGAAAAACTACAAACAGCACCAGGTCCAGACACGGTATGTTCCACATTAAAGCACACCCTGATATCAACACGTATCTCTTACAGCGTCAGTCTCTTATGTTTGTTTTCCATATTTCAGGGGGGACAGGAGAGGGAAACACGAGGAAGGCAGGAAGCAGAAGAAAGAGAATCTGCTCGGGGCCAGAAGAGGCCTCGTCATGATGTGAAAAATATCCGCTTGTTTGTTTACGTTTTGTACAGCTTGTGTTCCACTGTAAATATTTAGTTTTCTGCAGCTCACGCTCCTTTTAGCCCGCTGTTAGGAAGCTCTAATCCTCTGCTTCTATGTTACCTACTGTGTTTTTAGATCTGTAGTTCACTGCTCTTAATGATGCTTTTATGATTTTTGACACCATTGTACTGGTACTTTTGTTCTTAAAAATGTGATTTGCCTTGTTTTGTACTTTTTTTTTTTGTGGAACGACTAAAAAGACTGACACTAATTATTCCCTTGTTTGCTTTTTTCACAGAACATGTTTTTTTTTTGTTTTTTTTAATAGCTTTTCACAAAAACCTCTAGAACACACCCCAAAAAGCAGAATAGGCCCTCTTTATGACAAGATAAACAACTTGATCTTGACTTTAATTAACAATAAGATTGTGTCCTGTAATTGAAAAGTCCTAAATGTGTGTTTGATCTCCTTTTTTTAAGAACTCCTGGATTTATCACTTTTGGATTTTTTAGGAACTGTAAAATACTTATTTATGGCTTCTGTAGGTACAATGTTACTGAAGTACAACGGCCCGTCCACACGGCGGCGTGCGTTGAAGCTCACGCTTTGCCGAACTGCATTGTGGTTCCGTCGTGTGAGAGTGTTGAAGTGCACAAAGTAAAGCAACTGAAGAAACTCATAATATACTCAACAAAACCGGGGGTGCCTGCAGGGAGAAGCAGAGAGGCTTTAAATAGCTGCAGGGCACCAGACCCAGGTGCCCTACTGCAATCAGCACAGACACCTCCCCTCTACTGATGAACCCACAGGGGCATCACAGCCCCCCCCCTCTTAAGACGGGGCCCCAAAGGGATCCACGACAACCCAACCTCCTCCTTCTTAACTCCAGC